TCATATATTGTACTTTGGATTCCTAAAGCTTTTAGTCTACCTCACCATCATCCAAGGGTAGTTTTCACTATAAGTAAAAAATAATTTTTGGACGGACACTATAATTTACAGTTTTTTACTATGTAAAATCTGAATTTTCTTTAAAATAAAAAACATCTATATTGATTCTGACTTTTCTACATCCAACTCACAGGTTTATCATTACTTTGAGAATAGAGATTATTAATTTAACCCTTTTAGAAGGGAAGATATGGTCATTTGTTCTGGGAATGTCATTTTCGAGCCTGAGACCTGAAAAACAGGCTCAGGGCTTAAGAGGTTAAATGGCAAAGATATTGATAAATACTCACTAAAAACTAAATATATCATCCAGAACATTATTTACTACTTGGGCATGTTTATGATATGTATTTTAAAGATGTTTATTAATGATAGTGATAACCTGGTGAGCTGGTTGTGTTTAGCATTAGCAGATATAACAGAGCTTTGTGTGATTACATGTAGAGTCAATGCAAAGACCCAGATCCGTGCCTGGAGACACCAAGAAAGTGAAGAGGTGAAATTCATGTCACCTGCGTATTCGTGCAGCGTGACACATTTCATCTTGAGAGTGAAGTTTGTGACGCTCTGCCCATTGGTGAGAATCAGCTCCACTAATGTGACGTGCTGTAAAGGATGTGTTCATCTCCACAGAGGAAAGAGGAAGAGTGGTGTTCCTGTGGAGGAGCAGCTGTCCAGCTGTGCTCTGTGTCAGGACGTCCTGAAGGATCCAGTCTCTACCAGCTGTGGACACTGGTTCTGCAGACAGTGCATCACCTCATACTGGGAGCAGAGACCTCCATCAGGAGACCCCTCCTGTCCCCAGTGTGGAGAAAGATCCAGAACCAGAGCTGGACTGCAGACAGCCAGTCAGACCAGCTCTGTACGAGGTAAGAGGCCGAACACATGCAGCGTCTTATTCCTCTTCCTGGTTCATTTGTTTTTGAACAGGTATACTGTTGTAGAGCATAGACAGTAAGCTGTTTATAAAACATTTAAACTCAGTCTGGTTTTTTTGTTTTATGTTATAATTAGATTCTCAGAGCATTTCCCTCATTCTCTCACGTTTCCTTCTCTTTCAGCAGATAGTGGTCTGCAGGAGGTTTTAGATGAACATAGGCTCAGTCTGAGGAGGAGATGTGAACGTGTGACTGAAGGAACTGATCAAAGTGAAACCCTCCTCAACAGGATCTTCACTGAGCTCTACATCACACAAGGCCAGAGTGAAGAGGTTAATACCCAACATGAGGTGAGGCAGCTGGAGACAGCTTCCAAGAAGAAGCCCCTCCATGACACTCCAATCAAGTGCCAGGACATCTTCAAAGCCTTACCTGACCAACAGACTCACATCAGAGCGGTCCTGACCAACGGAGTCGCTGGAGTTGGAAAAACCTTCTCAGTGCAGAAGTTCACTCTGGACTGGGCCGAGGGTTTGGAAAACCAAGATGTCAGTCTGGTGATCCCGCTCTCCTTCAGGCAGCTGAACCTGATCAAAGGTGAGCAGTACAGTCTTCTCAGGCTGCTCCATGTTTTCCATCCAACCTTACAGAAGGTCACAGCAGAGCAGCTGGCTGTCTGCAAAGTGCTGCTCATCTTTGACGGCCTGGATGAAAGCAGACTTTCTCTGGACTTCAGAAACAATGAGGTTGTGTCTGATGTCTCACAGCAGTCCTCAGTCAACGTGCTGCTGACAAACCTCATCAGGGGGAAGCTGCTTCCCTCGGCTCTCGTCTGGATAACTTCCAGACCTGCAGCGGCCAATCAGATCCCTGCTGAGTGTGTGGACAGGGTAACAGAAGTACGAGGCTTCACTGACGCCCAGAAGGAGGAGTACTTCAGGAAGAGATGGAGTGATGAAGACCTGTCCAGCAGAATCATCTCTCACATCAAGAGCTCCAGGAGCCTCCACATCATGTGTCTGATCCCAGTCTTCTGCTGGATCACTGCTGCAGTTCTGGACCACATGTTGACTACAGACCAGAGAGGAGAGCTGCCCCAGACCCTCACTGACATGTACTCACACTTCCTGCTGGTCCAGACCAAGAGGAAGAAGCAGAAGTATGAAGAGGGACATGAGACGAGTCCACAGCAGCTGACGGAGGCTGACAGGGAGCTTCTTCTGAAGCTGGGGAGGCTGGCGTTTGAACATCTGGAGAAAGGAGACATCATGTTCTACCAAGAAGACCTGCAGCGCTGTGGTCTTGACGTCAACGAGGCCTTGGTGCACTCAGGAGTTTGTACACAGATCTTCAAAAGAGAGAGAGTGATCTTCAAGAAAACAGTCTACTGCTTTGTTCATCTGAGCATTCAGGAGTTTCTGGCTGCAGTCTACATGTTGCACTGTTACACCAACAGAGACACAGAGGTACTGAAGGACTTCCTGAAGAGAGACTATAGCAACAGCAGTGATGATGATTACCCATCCCTGGATGACTTCCTGAAGGGAGTCATGGAGAAATCCCTCAGAAGTGAAAATGGCCACCTGGACCTGTTTGTCCGCTTTCTCCACGGCCTCTCTCTGGAGTCCAACCAGAGACTGTTAGGAGGCCTGCTGGGTCGCACAGACAACAGACCAGAAACCATCCAGAGAGCCATCAGCAACCTGAAGGGGATGATCAGTTATTCCACTCCTGACAGGATGATCAACATCTTCCACTGTCTGACAGAGATGAAGGACCACTCAGTACATCAGGAGATCACAGAGTTCCTGAAGTCAGAGAACAGATCAGAGGAGAAACTCTCTGTGATCCACTGCTCTGCTCTGGCCTACATGCTGCAGATGTCAGAGGAGGTTCTGGATGAGTTGGACCTGATGAAGTACAACACATCACAGGAGGGACGACGGAGACTGATTCCAGCTGTGAGGAACTGCAGGAAGTTCAAGTAAGTCCAGATGTGATTAACTTTATAAACTAATGTGGATCAGGAGTTTAATTATTCAAATAAACACTATAACATTTCTGCTGTTTAAATACTGAGAAAATAAAACCAACACTGTTCTTCTATTTATTTATAATAATAGTTAAACTGAAGCGTTCCTCTCTTCATATTGAGTGATGGAGGCGACATGTCAAACACATGAAGGACTTTAGAGGTTTCTCAGCATGTGATCACACCACACAGCAGGACTTACAGTTATCACAGAAACATGTTATTATTACTTTCTAGTAGTTTCTTTATCATTAAACACGTTTTTATCACAATGTGTTAGAGTTTAAAATCAGATCTATAACATTTCCCACCAATAACAGAGTTATGTCTTAATGCTGATATACTGGGAACATCTGATGCTATCAAGTTGAACATATTGAAACTTTATTGGTTTGTTAATTGTGTTTGTGTGCGCAATAAATGTTCAGATGCTCAGAGAAGCCAAAACATCCTTCATCCATCATTCACATCCACATATTAACTAACATTTAAATATGTACATCTCTAATATTGTCAAGTGATTCATTTAATTTCTGTTTCTTTTGGTAACAGTCAGTGACAGCAGGATCACAGACATGTGATCAGATCACACTGACAACTCATTACACTCTATTATCATATATTATTATATATTATATTAAATGGACTAACAGCAAATGTCTATCAGAACATGTCAAATCTTTTTTCATCAAATGCTTGATGTTAATATAATGTTTCCTCTTTTTTAACACATGTTGTAATATATGTTTTATTATAGACTTGCTGGCTGGGGACTCTCAAAGCCTCACTGTGAAGTCGTGGTCTCAGCTCTGAAGTCTGACCCCTCTCATCTGAGAGATCTGGACCTGAGTGAGAACGAGCTGCAGGATTCAGAAGTGGAGCTGCTGAGTTCTGGACTAAAGAGTCCAAACTGCAGACTGGAGGCTCTCAGGTCAGTTCACTGACTGCAGTTCATATTGATCTGTTTGTGTTTATGATTTTCTGAATTTGAACAAATACAATGTTATTTTCATTTTTTCCATTTTTGCTAATGTCTGAATATTGATCAGAGTAACAAAGAGAAGGTGAATGTGTGAGGGAGAGAGTTTGAGCTTCCACAGACTCACTCTGTGCTCCAGGAGTCAGTGGAGATGCTGTCAGTACTGATGAGCTGTGAGGGAGATGAAGGAGTTGTTCAACATCTGATCAAAGTTAAAGTTCCAGATTATCAGTGGATTGTTTCTGCATCATCTCTGACATTAAAACCCTGTTTCACTCTGAACAGATTATTAAACCTGGAGTTATTTCAAACAGGAACATTGTTTTCTAAAGTTACATCATGTTTTCTTTATTCAGACTGGAGTACTGCAGTTTGTCAGAGATCAGCTGTTCTGCTCTGGCCTCAGCTCTGAAGTCCAACATCCATCTGAGACATCTGGACCTGAGTGGCAACGCTCTGCAGGATTCAGGAGTGGAGCTGCTGAGAGATCTTCTGGAGGGTCCAGACTGCAGACTGGAGACTCTCAGGTCAGTTCACTGACTCTCTGTTACTGCTGGAGATCTCACATGTTCACTTTGGAATTGAACCTCATTTATATTCATTAATAACTTACATCCATAAAGTTGTAAATGTCCTTATATTCATATTTCATTTTTAAGAGTAAGAAGTAAGAACTGCAGACATACATGTTGACTGTTTCTTAAAGTAACTGTAATAGATGTTAGTTGTAAAAAGTAAATCTATGTATTTAATATTTAGTAAACGATAACGTCTGAATAAAGGTCATCTGAAGTCATTTTAGTTTTACATGATAAAGTTCACTTTCTGAAGTAGACATAATTTTCTGTTCAGATTCATTTAAATGTTGAGTAACATCTGATTGGATTATAAACTGATTTGTATCCTCATCATGTTTTCTTTATTCAGACTGAGGGCCTGCAGTTTGTCAGAGATCAGCTGTTCTGCTCTGGCCTCAGCTCTGAAGTCCAACATCCATCTGAGAGATCTGGACCTGAGTGGGAACACTCTGCAGGATTCAGGAGAGAAGCTGCTGAGAGATCTTCTGGAGAGTCCAGACTGCAGACTGGAGACCCTCAGGTCAGTAAGGGGTCTCTGCTGGTTCAGCAGTATTGTATGAAACACAGGGAGGTGTTTCTCTCACTGGGGAATCACAACAGATCAGTGATGTTACCCACTGACTGCAGGCTCTTTCATTCTTCCATCAACTATAGAAGGCCAGCTGAAAATGCAAAGCCACATTTAGTAAGTAATCAACTTTCCACCAGACATATGGGATTTGACAGAAGAGTGGAAAAGGTAGTCTGTTTTTGATGGGATTTTTTTAGCTCCTTGACTAATGACTGTTACTTCCTGTAATGCAGCTGAGAGCTGTGGCAGTCAGTCGTAGTGTTTGCAGAGAAGATATGATGGGATGTAAAGCATGAGATCAGTCAGGACTCTGAAGCTGACTCAAAGAACAAACACTTATTTTAAACTGGATCCATAACTGTTGGATTGTGTTCATCCCTACAGGATCAGATATGATGAGACGATCAGAGCCAAGATCCAGAAGAACTGTGAGTACTGAATATCCTCCATTCATCAAGATATGAAACTCTTTCATGGAGCATGTCCTCAGAGGAAAACAACACTCTTGTTTTTCTCTCTTCATCATTTTGGCTGTTTCTCTTCACAACAACTGTCTATCAAAACAGTGACGCATGAGTAGAAGTACTTAGATCTGGTACTTCAGTAAAAGTAGAAGTACTCAGATCTGGTACTTCAGTAAAAGTAGAAGTACAAGAGTGTAGGAATACTCTGTTACAGTAAAAGGCCCGCATTCAAATGTTACTCAATACAAGTAGAAAAGTATTAGCATCAAAATATAGTTAAAGTACCAAAAGTAGTCAATAGCCGCATTCACACCAAGTACTTTGCCGTACTCAGTGCCGGCACTTATTACCCCAGGGCATTTAGTACAGATCGCGTTCACACCGGAATAAATTCCCTGAGGGAAGATTACGCTGCTGACGTCACTTCGTCTTCTTCTGCTTTGGGTTTACTGGCAGGCCGCAAACAACTTCACGGCGTATACTGCCACCCGGAGTCCCCGGCCGGAAGTCCCCGGAGTTGGGGACTGGCTTCAGTAGAAGCTGCTGGGAGTCCCAGCAGCTTCTACTGAAGCTTTCCGAGTAAATCGCCAGAACGCCAACACCTCCTCATCTCCACCGCTCCCATGTTTTATTTTGTGTTGCCATAAGTTAGTCTCTCTGTGTTTGTGCGCTGGGCTAATGCTAATGCTAATAATGGATATTGTGACTATACAAGGACAAGTACTCCAAGTGGTTAGCTGTTATAAATACCTTGGTATCTGGCTTGATGATTGTCTTACTTTTAAACTTCAGGTCACTAATCTGCTTAAAAAGCTGAGGGTTAGACTAGGTTTCTTTTTCAGAAACAAGTCCTGTTTCTCTTTTGAAGCCAAAAAAAGGCTAGTCACTGTGACCTTTTTACCTGTGCTAGACTATGGTGATTTGATCTATATGAATGCACCTGCCCATTGCCTGGAAAGGTTAGATGCCGCCTATCACAGTGCTCTGAGATTTGTTACTAACTGTAAAGTACTTACTCATCACTGTACCCTGTATGCCAAGGCAGGTCTGTCTTCACTTACTGGTCGGAGGCTCAGTCATTGGTACATATTCATATATAAAGCCATGCTGGGTAAACTACCGACTTATATCTGCTCTTTGATCTCACAGAGAGTGGCAAGTAGCTATTGCCTGAGATCCCAGGATGTGTTCTTATTACATGTGCCAAGTGCTAGGACTGTTTTAGGTACTAAAGCTTTTATGTGCGCTGCTCCTCTAGCTTGGAACACTATGCAAAAAACATTGAAACTGAGCATTTTGATTCCCTTGCATCATTTTAAAGCACGGCTGGATGAAATGTTAATGGATACCTGTCACTGTAAATAGGTTGCTAATGTATACCCCTGTAATTTATGTTGTGATGTCCTTTTGTTTTCTGTTGTTTTTATGTGTAACCAATGTACCGCAGGTCTCCCTTGAAAAAGAGATCGTTGATCTCAATGGGATTTTTTAACCTGGTTAAATAAAGGCTAAAAAAAATAAATAAAAAATGCTAATCAGAATCAGAATCAGAATACCTTTATTAGTCCCACGGAGGGGACATTTGCATCGTTACAGCAGGAAAGAGCCACAGACAGCTTAATGTTACCTGTGTTAAGAAAAACAAAGTACTAAGTTACGATATAATAAAAAATATAATATAAAAAAAATAAAAGTAAAAGAAAAATACTTTCCAAAATACAAATCCTGTAACAGTTCTTAGGATTTAGCAGCCAGGTATATATTACACAGTTATTAATGCCTATGTATATGATGTATATATTGCACATAGTATGATGGTATTTAACTGCAGCAAGTTACACATTATTAATGCTAATAATGCTAATGCTAATAATGCTCATGCAAGGATAATAAAATGGCGGCTCTACAAAACATTTCAGAGTTGTACGGGGCGTGGTTTGCAATTCGCCCAGCCAATCAGAACTGGGGCACTTTTTTACCCCAGGAAAGTACCATCTCTCAGCAGGTACTAAAAATGGGGGTAAAAGTTCCCGAAATTACAGAAGGAGCATCTTATTTCAGACAGTTTGAAACGCGAGGGTCGTAATTGGTCCGTGATTGGTCCGTGATTGGTCCGTGATCGGCCCGTGATCGGTTCGTGATGAAGAGCCGGCCCCCAGTCTGACTTGATACCGCCCCCGTGATAAATAAATGTAATTATTGTGAAGCCAGCTGCAATGGATCATTGATCCACCAGGGGGTGCAGTGGGGTTCCACACTGGAGCTCATGTGAAATCAACTTCGATACAGTAAACTGGATGTTGTGGTGCCGAGAGACGGGAGTCGGAGGCGGGGTATCAAAAGTACAAGCTAAACTTTTATTTAGCATCTGAACACACATGTAAACAACTTCATGCCCGGGAAGCGAAGACCGGCGGAAACAGCTGGTCCGGTTCACTAAAATGTCCGTGCGGAACAATACCCCAACCCATAGATCCGTGGGTGAATAATGTCAATCACCACAATGTACAGTATGTCTGGTACTAATGTATAGCGGATCTTTGTTAAAGGGCCCATGTCATGGCCATTTCCACTGATCATAATTACATTGTTGAGGTATACTAAAATAGATTTATACTGTGCAATTTTCCAAACTCACATTGGTTTCGCATACAGCATCTCTGTCAAGCATGTGTATTCAGCAGTATTCACTTTCTCCACTAAACGACTCGTTGGAGCTCTTGCCCCCCCCTCCCTGTGAGCCTAGTGTGCTCCGATTGGTCAGCTCGGCCACTCTGTTCTGATTAGTCAACCACCAGAGAGGCTGCGCCCATGTCTAACAGTGCTTTTCCCGGCTGCTCTCAGCGGAACATCAGTCTTATCATGGCGTCGGTACAGCCGTATATTTTATATACATATATATTTTTAACTGTTGTTATAGAAGAGTGTGACGGCCCCAGGGCCTTTGTCTTACGATGGGGTGGAGCTGAAGAGGCTAATCAGCACGATCACGGACACCTCCGGAGCCGAGGTGCTATTAAGCCCAGCTGCCCGGAGTCACACGACGGCCCCTGTCTCTCTCCAAAGCGGCTGCAGGAAGACTAACTCTGCGATCCTCTCAACCACCTATCTCTGCATTTACCACAATAAATGTGCCGTGGTTTTGTAAACTCGTGTATGTCTCCTTGTCTTTCCGTTGTGGCCTACGAGCCGCTCATAACAAAGAGTAAGTTATTTTTACCCGTTATAAACTACTACTGTTTGATGAGAAATCAAATCATGGTTTGCTATATATGAATTCAGGGAAGAAAGGATAGGCCTACTAAGTATTTCCATTAAACTTTATTTTTAGAAATGTACAAAATGAACATAAATATACATATATACACACGGTATATCATCCATTCCTCCTCGCATCTTGCCTGCGCACAGCCGGTGCGGTGCCTTTTAGCAAGAGGCCTCAGTAGTAGTAGAAGTCCCGTCCCCGTCATGGATTGTCCGCCAGGATCTGGCTGGACGAAATCAAATGCAAATCACAAAATATTAGAGAAACTTAGTTGTTTTAGATTCGTTAGTAGTAGTTGTGTAATGAACAGCTTGCCTGCTAATATGCTAACCTAGCTTTGTTTACCTTGGTAGCTAACACGATATGAACGTTAGCTTGGAGGAAAGGCAACTATAATGCAGTGTAATAAAACTACTATGAACAAAAGCTAGTGGTTCATATTAGGCTAGCAATAACGTGTTTATAATTGCAATCGTATACGGGTATTCTGCTACCATACAATGTAACTTGCATGAATACATTGTTTTGCGCTAGCATACAGCTAGCCTCTTTAGCTACATGCAGTATATGTACTGTCACAATGTACGGTAAATCACCCGGAGTATACTGTATGAGTATTCCGTGTGTGTGACTGCAGACATTCTCCTGCCATGACAAACATGTAAGGCCATCTGCTGACATTGTAGTTGATATATTTAAACGCTAGCAACGTAGCATCACAAAAATGTTTTTCCGACCAAAACTAGCTCTAGCTCCGTGTGTTAGATCGGTTGCATACACGCTACGCCAGCTATAATGTAATTACGTTTCGCGACTGACCGCACGGCAAATCACCCGGAGTATACTGTCAATAGGTATTTTGTGTGTGAATGCAGACATTCTCCTGCTATGAGATACATGTATGCAAGGCCATCTGCTGATATTAGAGTTGATATATGGAAACTCTAGCAACTTAGTTAGCACAGTTAGCACTGTGTCAATGGCTTAGCAGTCCAACACAGTTTACACATTTAAACAGTCTTGTTTGATAAATACACAAATAACAATGCAAACTTACAGGTTGTATACCCAGATCTTCCCCTGCTCCAAACGGTCCAAACAAGCTGTGCATATCCGGCCTCAAACTGGGCAATGTTTTGGAAGCTTTCGTCTGTGAAATGCCGGTTCTTCGAACCTCTGGAGGAGGAACACGCCGCTGCTGGTGTGGCCATAGCTCTTCGGGATTGGTCCATTTCGTTCCGGGTACCGCATGACATCAGGCGGTACCCGGAAGAATCAAATGGGCAGTGACGTATCTCCAACGAGGCGTTTTGGGGAGGTTTGTAGAGTTTTACTCGCTACAGGGTGTACTTTGAGGGTTTTGACTCTGCACACCGTTTACATGCATAAAAACCTTCATAACACATAAGGGGACGGGTAATAACCGGAAAAGCATGACATGGGAGCTTTAAGATCCATATGTCACGGATAGTATCATAGTCTGTGCTAAATAAGACATGTAATCATTTACAAAACATCACCATGTTGTTATTTAACAAAATAATGTTGTTTAGTCGAAAAAAACGAACGAGAGGAAATGCAGCCGGCTCTCGATTTGTAATCCTAATTTAATCACGATCATTTATGTTTATGTTCGCCGAATTGACATGAAATCACTGACAAATATGAATATACTCTATTCAACTTCATTCAAATGTTA